TCCCCCTCCTCGCTGTAACTTGTTGGTTCTCGCCCTCATCCATTTCTTTTTTCTAATAATAGGCCTCAGATGATGCTGTCCGCGTGATCCATGCCGACTTTTCTATTACAATCCGTTATTGCTAGGTATGCATAAGAAAAGCCTGGAGGCAGCAGCACATCTGGAAAATGGTGAAATTGACAAGGAATCGAACGATGACGACAGGTCGGTGGATGCATGCTCGCCTGACATTTCCACTAGTACCAATGATAATAGCACTGGTGATAAACTATGTGTATATCAGTACGATGACCTACATTATGTAAATAGTATCAATAATCATAATACCAGGCAAAATTGACCTGTGAAGAAACGAGGGAAAGCAAAATTCTCGAAATTTCCTGGAAATTTTCAAGATTCATACTAAGTTGCATGACTGTTGCCCAAAAGCGCTTATTTAAGATTTTAAGAAGATGGCCTTATTCATCAAGCAAAATAAAATGCCAGTGAGGGCCTAAATTTGAGTATTTTAAATTTTCCATACAATTTTTGACGGAAGTACCACCAATTTTATCGCCGGTGATTTAAAGTAGATTGCAAAGCATGTAATTCGTAAAAGTAGAACTAATCTCTGTAAACTTTTACGTCCTGAAAAAACGCCTGTTGCAAAAAATTGAGCTTTTGTGAAATCTCGTAAAATTTTAACTGGGTGCTTTCGAATTAATTATAATTCATAGCAGTGGTTCTTCAACCACGTGAATGGCAACTTTTCCAGTTGCTTTGGCCAATGCCACACAGCCTGGCGGTCAGTCAGCTTACTTTGACCAATGCTGCATTGCCTGACGGTCAGTCTGCTTACTCAGAGCAGTGCTGTTTCGCTTGTTGTTCAGCCTGCTGGCTATCCTGACGTTTGTCCTGGCTCTTGAAGAGATTACCAGCTTAGCGATTTTTCCAACAGAAACATGTTGGCAAGGCTTTAATTATTTCGAGATGTTCTTCTCTCTGTGTGTGCATTGAGTATCACTACCTCGTTCCGAGCGTTGCCATTCTCAGACCACGATGAGGTCTCGCAGCAAAAGCTTAAATACTTTTTTATAATTATTGCAGGTGTTTGAAACATATCATAGTTCTCAAATATGATAAAGTTATGTTAATAGAATGTTAGAATTGTATGATAGAATTCAAATGACCAGTTCTCTTCCACACATATTTGCAGCCATGAACCAGTTTTAATTTAGATATTTATAAATTCTTATTTAAATTTACTCCTGAGGAGGAAAACGAGTTCTCGAGCAGCCCTCGAGGATATAGCCTCTCGGGCGATCTACAGCGGCTGAAGATGATGTAGCTTATGCTAAGAGAAATGCAGCGCGGATCCGCCCAGTGTCCAGAAGGCATCACAACCGTGCCAAGACCGAAACGCTGTTATCCGAATGGCCTTTACAACCCCGGTACTTCTGCACATGTTCCCCTACTATTAGCTCCAAACCGGCTTGAATTTCAACAGTAATACTTCTCGTTTGCCATTCAGTCTGTGCGAATCGGCACATCACGGCGAAAATTCGCAGACCACCCCTTTACAACGCCACCCTTGCAGTTTTTCGCACATTTTTGTATGATCTGCATTTGCCTCAGGATAAAAACGCCAGGAGTAAAAAAAGTTACAAAGTCTCCGGAAGAAAAAATTTCCTTGAAAGCTAAAAAGCTGCAGAGTTGATGGAGGGATTTTGGCTTCTCTGCAGAATAGAGATAGAGGGAGAGTAAGAATGTGAGGTATCGGAGGCTGAATTCCAAAGTGAGTACGCGATTTCTGGATAAATCCAAAGACCTTTAGTCGAATTGCTACTTTTCCTATTCTTTTTCAGGCAACCACAAGAGTGAAAGTTCTCTAAAACATAGCTGCAACGATTGGGAAATTTTCCCGCAGCCTTTGCCTCCTTTTACCTCTGCCTCCGGATCTCTCTCCCTCCCCCCCCCCCCCCCCCCCCCCCCCCCCCC